TGATGAAGCAGTAAAGTGTGGGCAAACATCGCCATCCCCAGTTTCGAAAAGAATGCTGCCATTTTTCTTGCTCCATGGTTCCAAAACTGTGTTTGCTAATATTTGTCCATGAAAGCGCTCAGAGAAATGAAACAGATAAAATAAGTTTGTCTTCGCCATGTTCATCCTGCGTAATTACCAATAACTCAGACAAGGAGGCCCGCGCTGTAAATTTTGGCAAAATTGTACGTCAAGTACGAGGTGAACAGTACAAAACCATATAGTACACTACCTGCTTTCCAAAGCATGACGATTCTGGAGCAGAGCCAGTTGTCTTTGACGGAAGTCTCTGGTTACCGTACCAGCGTGCTGGAGGGCATAATGCCTCCGGGCGGCCTGGAGCAGGCCTCAAGCAGTCCTCCAGAGAACAACTGCAGTTCTCAACAACTGAGCAACCTCTCAACAGCTAAGATAATTTAACACTAGGGTTTCGGCGGTACATGAAAAGAAACGACTCAAATGCTTCCAAACCCCTCAAATTTTTGACAACGTCCCCCTCTTGCGACTAAAAAGGGGCCCGGGGTGGGTCAGCGCCGGCAGAAGCGAGAGCCAAAGTCCGGTGGCGTCAGGCACAGTTCCCCTTCTTCTTTGCACAGTTCTGTTCTTTACGCACCGCGACGAGTCGCGTGACGTCACGCGGGCGGCGGCGCAGCGGCAGTGGAGAGTTGAGAGGTTGACTGTCGGCGTCGCCGGTGTGGTGTCAGGGGGGGGGGGGGGGGGGGGGCTCCGTTCGTCACTCCCGTGGTTCGGTGCGAGGAACATATCTTGTTCATGAGAGAATCCTGATACTCAGCAGCATGTATGCATAGGGCATTGCCATTTAGCTCCAGGTTACAGGATGGGCGTTAGCGTGTTGCAGGATTACGTTGGCCCGGCTAAGTACCTTGCGTACGCTCGGGATGTAAACCACCGTGCATTTTCGTTCGTACCGTTTTACAGCTATCAGGTATCGTTGGAACCGCTGTCGATGATGACGTCATTGATATATGCCACTGAGTGCCTCAACGGCGTATGCACCCATTTCTGACCAGCCGGGCACTTCTGGAGTTACGGAGGGTAATAACAAAATGTTTGTGTGTGTGCGCGGCAGAGACGACCATTCTCAAACTATTTTGCTGTGAGACCACTACCATACGCAAATATGAATTGCTGATTAGGCGATATGACATTTTTGCGCTATGGCGGCGCATTGCCGACTGCGGTCAGAGCCGACCGGTGCGTGCTGACCGAATCGCGGTGCCCCGGCAAAATTACGTCTACGCGGAAGCAAAGAGAACCATTGTGCATTTTTCTTAGCACTGTCCTGTAGATATTAGATAGAAGTTTAACCAATTTCTTTACTAACGTCAATTGCATGTGCTGTTTGGCGAACCAACGGCGTGTGGGCTAATTGATGACGACCCAGTTATTTCTGGAATCACGGAAGGCAATATGGAATACCTTGCATCAATTGTTGTTTAGTGGATGCGTACGACGTAAGTTCCCAGCGATAAAACGCGCGTGCGCTGTAGCGGGGAGTTTTGGCCCGCCCAAGGCCAAGACTACCAGAGACTCGCCACTGGTCTCGCCGCTGCGTCGGTGAGAGGGGCTGGGTGTGGGGTGCTGGGGGTGGAGGGGGGGGGGGGGAGGGGGTGTTGCGGCGCTGTGTGCTTGATGTTACTTTGTTGCTGTCTCAGATTGTGATGATATAACGAAGGACTTTTGCACCACCTTCTTGCGATTATAAGCTACTTCGGCATAGCTGTGCCCGGTGAAGAGGCTGATCCGGTGTCCGAGGAAGTGGTGCCTCGTTTGACGTGCGTGTCATGTCCGATCCTGACGGCACGACCGACGTTGTGGAGTGGTGGACACAGACCGACCTCCTGCGTAAGCACCGCGGCGTCCCCATTAGCGCAGTGCTTGCCCTGCGCCTGGCGGGCGGGGCTTTCGCCGTATGGGCTCAGTTGCCGGCAGAGGCTTGTGGCTCGCAGGACAACGTGAAGACGCCCTGTTTGCATCGTTTGCGTTGGACCAGTGCGCGGCGTTTGACACATCCTCCAACCGGCGGATCCAGCCAAGTGAGTCTGCATGTATTTATGTAACATACTTGAAGCGGCTGGTGACGCTCTTCGGCGGTGTGCCGGACCTCGCTCTGGTGTGTGCGGTTGTCGTCGGCCTCTCGGAGGGTGTACGCCAGGTGATCCTCGCCGGTTCTCGCGTAGAAGCGCTAGATCTGACCGGCGTTGTAGCGCGAGCTCGTGTCGGTGTGAGTGACGAGCGGCTCCCGACAGCAGAGGCAGCAGGTTGACCCCGGGGAGACGGCGGCGGCGGCGGCCTGTGGTGTGACGCGCGCTGACGTCACCGAGGGAGACACGCTCAGTGCATTGGTTCGGGCGACGCACGAGCGGGAGGGCCACCCCGGCGTCCGACGGACGCTGTTCTTTGCGCGCCGCGACGGGTCGCGTGGCATCATACGGGCGGCGGCGCGGCGGTAGAGGAGGGATGTGACGTGTGCCGCTACATCGACCCGCGCTGGTGTCATGGCGATGCGGCTCGATTGGCGTGACCGCGATGTGGGAGTGCATCACCATCGACGTCACGCACCATCAGCGACGGAGCTACCTCTCCATCATCGATTGTGGGCCGTCGTGTTTCTGTGTGAGTCGCTCGCTGCGCTACGCCGACGCCAACGAGGTCGTTATCCACCTCGAGCAGCTCTTCCTCGGCACCAGGCACCAGTGGAGATTTTGGCGGACAATGATGCGGTCTTCCGCAGTCAGAGATTCGCTGTGCTCGCTGCAATTGAGGAGCAGAGCTGCGGTTTCGAGCGGTGTTCGAGCCAGACGGAAAGTGGGCTGTGGAGCGTGTTCATCGGACTGTGAAAGTGATTACCGCTAGGAAGCGCTGCTCGATCTCGGCCCTTGTAACCTGCTCCTTTCGTGAGTGCACTGCCGCCATGTGAAATGTTGCCCGGGTTTGGCAGGGGATTACTGCACCCTGCCCTCCCAAATCCACCACCCCTGGCTATATTATGCCAATTCCCAGCGCCAGCTCCGGCGCCAGCCACAGCGCCAGCCACAGCTCCAGCTCCAGCTCCAGCGTCAGCTCCAGCTCCAGCCCCGGCCCAAGCCTCAGTGCCAGCTCCAATCCCAGTCCCATTCCCAGCCCTAGCCCCAGTCCCAGCCCCAGTCCCAGCCCCAGTCCGGCCCTAGGTCAGCCTCAGTCCTCAGTCATGCCGGCCTAAGCCCCAGTCCCAGCTCCATTCCCAAGCCCAAGCCCAGTGCCAGGCCCAGAACTGGGCCCAGACCCAGCCGCGATGCCAGTTCCAGTCCTAGGCCCAGGCTCAGCCACAGTACCAGGCCCAGGCCCAGCTGCAGTACCAGGCCCAGGCCCAGCCGCAGTCCCAGGCCCATGCCCAGCGGCAGTCCCAGGCCCACGCCCAGCCGCAGTCCCAGGCCCATGCCCAGCGGCAGTCCCAGGCCCACGCCCAGTTGCAGTCCCAGGCCCACGCCCAGTCGCAGTTCCAGGCCCAGGCCCGGCCGCAGACGCAGCCTTAGCCCCAGCTCAGCCGTGCGATGCACTACCTAGCGCCACGCTGATCACGTTACACATGGAGCCGACGGCGATTAGCCAAGGGGATTTGGTTGCAGGGGCGCTGAAACTGCTCAAGTTAAGGGGACTCTAAAATGCGGAAATGGGCCCTCTAAAATTCGGTAGTGTGCTGCTACAGGCCAGAAAGGACCATCTAGAAGTTGGAATGGAGTAACATTCTAAACGATAACTTATGGACCTTCTACAAGTCATGATGAGCATCTGCAGGCCGGAATGGCTTCTCTCAAGGCCAGGATGACCCCATGACCCTTCCAAAGGCCAGAATGGGCCCCTCACAGAACAGAATGGACCCACCTCAGCCAATTTTGAGCCACCTTCAGATCAGAATGGGCCTCTACGGGCCGGAATAAACATCTACAGTGCACAAAGGGCCCTCTTTAGGTTCAGAATTGCTCGCTTTTGGTCAGAAGGGGCCATAGTATCCCCGAATCAGCCCGCGATAGGTCAGAGTAGACTTTTGCATTCCCCCCCTCCCACAGCTTTCAAGTTGGAGGAGCTGTCCCCACCGCCGCCCCTCCCTCCCCCCCCCCCCCCCCCCCGGTTACCGCGTCCCTTGGGTGTCATCCCCTCTCTGGAGGTGATGCATGCCCCGGGAGCTGAAATTGTTCAAAATCGACTCGTGTTACTTAGTTTGTGAAGCCCTGACTCACCCCGACCCCGTTCCGTTTTGCGTATGTGTCTACAGTATCCAGGTGTTCCAACCATGTCACTTTCGTGCTCGACATGCGTATTTACTGTGCGCCAATCCTGCGTGTACACTGCCAGGCTCTGGGAGCGCGGGTAAAAACTTCTGAAATTTGGTAACTTTGCAGCTCAGTTTTGCCCACAGTGGAATTTTCATACGTGCCGGAATAAATTCGCGTTCGGCGTGGGTTTGGGTGTAATGCACGTGCGGCGAGAGTCCAGGCCAGATCAAGGTAAGAGTGTGTAAAATCAGCATAAGATTGATCACCGGTGTTAGAAATGTTTTGATGGGCGCAGTCGTACTAATTGATTATTTGCAGGGCGGTGTGTGCTTCTTAAGTCATGTTAAAATTCACAATCGTGCGACAAATTCTCATGACGTCAAAGGAAATGTTATACGTTAAGATACCGAAGCAAACACCGGATATGATGATATGAGCTCACTTATAACTTATAGTGTACTTTTCGAGTGGAAAAAACTGCTCCGAATTTCACGGTTTCTCTGTTTAGTGAATATGATCCTCAATGCATCATTGATTGTGTTATCATACCTTGCACAGCAGCTGTTGTATCTTGAAATGGGGTTCATGAATGCCAGTCGTTTATGACTCAGCATTATGTTTTTATCGACCTTAAGGCTTTGTTTACTGCATGACCTGTGGAATGGCTAGATGTGAATAATGTTGTTCAGTTGTTGATGCCTGGTTGACCTTGAAGGAGTGCATGTAACAGCCTGCACATACTTGTGGGTGTGTAGCTAAAAAACTAGAAGGATTTAGGTCATAAAGAGGGCAGGACTGTCAACTGCACCAAATGATCTTCAAGATGGGTATTCCATTGAAGCCATACCCAGAACAATCATGAACACTTCCCCATAAATGGAATGCTCCATATATGAAGGCATTGAAGCAAGCATCAGATATAATGAAACAGGCTCTCTCTTAATTGTTTGTTTGCTTCTAGGTGGATAAGAGTGCTGTAGATAATACCATTTATCTGTTCAGCAAGTATGATTCTCAAGATGCCATTGTACCTAGCATGACATTGATTGGTAGCCAATTGATGATCATTATGTCTTGAAATTGTGTGCATTTATGTGAGATTAAACAATTAACAGTGAGTGTGTGTCTTTGAAATTAAAGGGGTTTAGCTGTGCGTAGAAGGGCAGGGCTGTGAACTGCACCAAATGATCTTCAAGATGGGCACTTCAGTTCAAAACCCCATACAAATACAGAACACCTCCTTTAAGGGTGTAATATGTTTGGCTTGGAATTGTGCCCCATGTCTGGAAATTTTGTCACACGTTTCCCCTGCCAGAAGCTTATCCTTTGTGTTTGCCTGAGAATGACACCATCATGGGTAGCAATGAGGAACATCATTATAATTGGAACATTGATCAAGAGCAAGCAATCTGAGGGGGGAGAGGTGGCATGGTGGTCTGCTAAACACCATCTGTTTTGCCATGTGGCTGTGTGACATCAGTGCACTGAATCAGTTTGTTGCATGCATCAACCATGGGCCAGGCCAAATTGTGTTAAATTGTCACAGTTTTCCCAGGTAGGAATGTTTTTGGAGTATCATTGTCCTAAATTACCTTTTCAGCATACAATTGCTTGGATAATTGGTGCTTTTACCACAAAAATTGATGCTGGCTGTACTAAGCTCAGCACTCATATTTACATTTTGTGTTCTAAAATTGTGGCAGTGGCTGTGCTGCTATAGCACACCCATTTGGCATAACATGCATATTTACAGTCTGGAAAACACTGAGTTTTCCCCATATTGCTGAGGGAATGCCTCCATGGCAGCTGGTGTTTCCTCTCAACTGCATGCAATGTCAAAAGCAATCAGAAAACAGTAAGGTTCTATCGATATGTCAGTGTTTAAATTGCATGTTTCAAAAACATGAGGTATGTTGCTCCATTCCCTGCAATATCTGCCCTTCCTGCCAGACTGAGAGACAGGCAGCACCACATAGCCTTAGATGCTGTTTGCATCACAAAGCCCCAATGACATGCATGCATGCATGCATGCACGCACGCACGCACGCACGCACGCACGCACGCACGCACGCACGCACGCACGCACGCACGCACGCACGCACGCACGCACGCACGCACGCACGCATGCACGCACGCATGCACACACACACACACACACACACACATGCACACACACACACACACACACGCACACACACACACACACACACACACACACACACACACACACACACACACACACACACACACACACACACACACACACACACACACACACACACACACACACACACACACACACACACACACACACACACACACACACACACACACACACACACACACACACACACACACACACACACACACACACACACACACACACACACACACACACACACACACACACACACACACACACACACACACACACACACACACACACACACACACACACACACATACACACACACACACACACACACACACACACACACACACACACACACACACACACACACACACACAAATGCAGGTTTATCAGTCAACTGCATGTTTGTCAGCAACAATACCAACTTGATGGTCATGACAGTGGCAAAAGCTGTGTATTTTTAGTGAGAAATTAGCTGACTTGGATGCATGATCTTCCACCCATTCTTGATATGTCAGTGCATCAAACTCAGTTGACCTTATTACAGTGGTTTATGCTGTGGTCTGGTTTCAGCCTACTGAGACTGGTGTCAGACCACGCAAGACACCATGTCTCGACACCGCAATGTGCGTGGAATGAACTACGACGATGGTAAGCCTGTTGGTCGTCAATCTGGCGGGGTGCGATCTTTATTAAGAACGACTTACCCCAGTGTGGTCTTTTCACGCGCCCAGTTAGTTGTTTAACTGTATATGACATGGAAAGACATGAATTTCCATGCGAATAAGTTCCTCACACCACTGTGGTTATTCTCCCTTTAAAGATGAGACGTACCTTTGTCACGCCTGGCCCCTTAGTCAACCCACAAACTTAGATAGCCACGCACTTAGCTGAGAGGCCGGACGTTCGATGTGACGCTGGCTGGTTGTCCCCAGAATACGACGGCTACTATGACGTGTACGGCCACAGCGTGGACGACGAGTACACCATGTCGCCGTCGTCCGTAGAGCGCGAGTTCACGTTCGACCGCAGCCGACAGCACAACATGGACGCTTTCCTGCTGCACGACACCACCATCGCCGAGGAAGGCGAGGTGGGGCCCCCACTTGGGTAGCCCGGCGGCGTGGATTGACTCACAGTCGCCAGGGTATGGGTTCGAAACTCACCAGCGGCTGCGGTGCTGTGCTTTCATGGCGGGTGGCGATAATCAGGTAAGATTCGAATTGGTGCAAGTGCCATCACCTTGTAAGCCCCATCCCTTGCATGTCCCTTCTTCGCTTGCGTCCACGACTACGGCAAAATCGCGACGGTACCCCCTGTAACAACGATGCGGTAGGGTGGCGGTGCCTCCCCCTTCCCCGTCCCGCCGTGATCCCCTCCCCTCCCCACCCCGCCTTCCGCAGGACGTCCCTGACGTCACTCTGCACATCCCCCATCCCTCTGCCCCAGAAGGGCGTCATCTCCGTTTGTCTCTCCAGTGTGCCCGTGCGTCGCAGTATGACGGCGCACCACGCCCTCCCTCCCCTGTCGTTGGCAGCAGCAGGGCGTCGTCCCCCGTTCATCCATGACACGTGGTCTTGCGCCGCAGGAGAGCGCCGGCCACCCGGCGGCCGGCCGCCAAGACTCGACCGGCCCCCTGATCCCCGAGCAGTTGGGGGACGAGCAGCGCGCGCGCCTCCTCTCCTGTCTGGACGCCGTGCGGGACGTGGTGGGCGAGACGGTCTCGGATCACACCATCGTGCGGGCCGTGCTGCAGCACGACTACAGCTGCGCCCGCGCGCTGGACGCCATCCTGGCCGGCGCCGTAGCCGGCATGCCCGGATCAGGTGGGCGCACGGCCTGTTGTGGGATAGGGCGCATAGCCTTCCGGGCTCAAGCGTCCATCTTTGTATGAGTGACTTCTGGCGTCGGTTTTTTTTCGCGTTTCCTGTCTTGCAAACTTCAATATTGATCAGTTTCAGTAATGAGTGGGTGGGGAAAATGCCACGTTCTCTGACACTCATCAGGTGGCATGCCGTACAAACGCCTTCCACTCCTAGAGGGAACATTTGTTACGCCGTGTGCAGTTGACTAATTGTAGCATTTAATTGTGATTCATTTGTATGTTTAAAAGACGCCAAATGAATCATGTCAGGCCTTGTCCAGGTATTTCCTCACGGGTTGATCTTGTCTGCTAACTCGTAATTTGCAAACAAAGTATGGTGTATTTCATTGTTTTCAGACGCAAAGTCGGGCATATTATCCACCATTGTTTCCACGTGATCTCCGAAAATATGGCCGTAGTTCAGCGGCGATGAAAGGTCAGAATTTTTTTCCAAGGACATCTCCAACCTCTTGAGGGTCGTCAATGATGTCGCCGTTGACATATGGTTGGGTGGGGTTCGATTTGACCCTCTAAAGGTTTTTCCGGAATGGTTTCCGAACGGCATGGCGTAGCTGCGCAAAATTTTACCTAACTATGGACATTTGGATAGCGGATCGTTGGGCATAAAAATTTAGATATATCTTGTAGGGTCGCTGACCTACGACAGGTCAAGGTCAGGCCATGGGTTGAGCGAAGACGATTTCTAGGGAATCCTTCAATCTGATCTAACAACGGAATGTTAGACGAGACCGGACACCTCCGAGATAGTTTTTTAGGCAATACAAAAATTGAATGAAAAAAGTCCATCGACCAAGGGTCAGCTATGAAAGTTTGACCTAGGTCAACACCAACCTGTTTCATTACCATGGAGCTTGCTGTGTGAGGTAGTTTCTGGTACTCATCTCGATTTTTCGATAACAGCAACCGCATTATACATCTTCCATAGACTTATGATATGTCACGATAGGCCACAGACCTAAAATGGCCCAGATCAGCATTTTGTTTTTGGAATATACTGCTTCGCATGATGTTTGACGCTTATCTAAATGTGAAACGCAAAGCAGTCTTGTATGATTTCGGTCACTGTCACTTCCGAAAGGTCAGGCGTTTGACATAAAATGAGCACCGGTGTCTTTTGCCTAGATATCTAGGTTCTGGGGCGCTTTGGACACAAATCTAGTTTGACCTTGTTTGACCTTAATTGACCCGAAGGCCGTGACCCAGGAACCCCAAATTTTGACGCAAATGGGTTTACGTACAGGCCAACACACCTGTCAATTTGGTGTCTCTAGCTCTCTTAGTTTCTGAGATCGTAGGGGGATGAGATTTACCCGGCCACGCGGATGCATAGTAATTTTCAGCACCGGAAGTGGCATGCTCGCTCTCGCTTTGTCGGTAAATCTCCTTATCATGCGCCTAAGTTGCGTCATACATGCTCTACAATTGAATAAAATGATCAGGTTTGCCCACGCCTCTCGCTTTCGCTTTTGTTTTCTGGTCTTCCACAAATAAATCAGCATTTTGTCGATCACACCGAAAACGGTTTAAGGCCCGTTTTTTTGACGGGAATGGCCTCTTTGCATTCACCCCCCTCCAAGAACAGCTGGACTTTGATTTCCCGGTTTTCTTTGGGAGATTCTTTTTCGCTGCGCCAACAAAAATGCCATTCATGTCTCCGCAATTTTTGCTCTATGAAACTAGCGCACATCTCTCCGCAAACTCGTCCCACTCGGCTTGAGTCAGATTCAAGCTGAGAACAGGTCCGAACTTGGGTGTTTTTCCAATCCCATGTTCATTTGTCTATAGATCGGGAAATGGTCACTAGAGTGGAGGTCGGAATCTGTTTTCCAGCCCGGATACTGATCGCTACTGTTGGATGACACCGTGGTGCCTACCTGTGAATGAAGGCCGGAGTATTCGTCCGTCCTCGTGAGACTGTCATTATTCAACACGTTAAAGTATGTTGCTGGATAATTCGCTGCCAAATAATGCCCGTTCGGTCGCACCGGCCCACTCTCCAATAATGCCATTTTGGTCCCGCCCACTCTCCAATAATGCCCCTTCGGTCGCACCTGTCCACTCTCCAATAATGCCACTTTGGTCTCGCCCACTCTCCAATAATGCCCCTTTGGTCGCACCGGCCCACTCTCCAATAATGCCCCTTCCGTCGCACCGGCCCACTCTCCAATAATGCCCCTTCGGTCGCACCGGCCCACTCTCCAATAATGCCCCTCCGGTCGCACCGGCCCACTCTCCAATAATGCCCCTTTGGTCGCACCGGCCCACTCTCCACATCACACGCCGACTATCCGCATACTCACAGATAATAGTGGTCCAGAAAGAGTTGCAATGAGATAAGCTAGATTCGGGAGCGTTAAGTTTTCACTAGGGGGTAAAGAAAGAGAACAGGTGGCCAGTCTGATTCCACCGACTCTCACCAAGCAGACGTCGGCTTGTAGGGGCGTTTGTAGTTGTATTGGATAAGGTGTGGGGGCATCTTTGACATAAAGACAAACGCCACCCGGCCTCCGGACAATGTTTCCGTAAGAAGCGTGCATGATATAGCCGGAGGTGTGAAAGCCACATACATCTGTGAGTAGAGAATGGGTCTCTTGGATGCAAATCACATTGTGTGCCGTCTCCATAAGCACGGGCTCGATAGACGCCCGTCGCTATATTATGCCTCGCGAGTTCCATTGTTTTTGGGGGGAAAAACGTTAAGGAAATATCGTTACCAGGCGGACGCTACCCAGCCGGTATTCAGTTCTTTTGTTCTGGGGTCTGGGACGCATCCTGCTGCGCGTCAGTCCTGCACAACTAACCGTGACAGCCTCAAAACGCCGCGGGCAAGGACTGACCAGCCCGCACAAATCCCCTCCTCGCCCCTGAGAGGCGAGCTGTGCGAACAAAGAGGATACCTACCTAACAAGACAGAAAGTAAAAACACAGACAAAGGCACGTTTTCAGAGAGCAAAAAGTGCGCATTTAAATGAAACATAACACAAACCATAATCAACACAACACAAAACGCACATAAAAGTATATGATAAGTAATTGAGGTAGCAGAAATATGGAAATGAGGTACTAATAAACAATACATATCTGGATCCATTTTGTCATTCTTCCATGATTTGTGGTGGTGCTGAATGTCGGTGTTAACCTGACACTGCACCTGGTGCCGGAGATGAGCCGGTGTTCACCAGTCAGCCCCCAGTGACAGTTGGGCGCCGTGTTGCAGGCTCGTCCCGTGTTCGCCAGTCAGCCCTCAGTGACAGGTGGGCGCCGTGTTGCAGGCTCGTCCCGGCTCTCCAGGCGCGATTCTCTGGAAAGTCCGCCGACGGCTCGTGCCGTGGCCGAGGCCCGGCCAAGCTGCACCGAGCCGAGCCCAGACACCGCCGCCACCGCATCAGGTACGTTCGCTCCTGACCCGTGCCGCCTTAGGTGCGCTCAGGTGCGTTCTCAGGTACCGTGCACCATTGCAGCACCATTGAAAGATAAAAAGGATATAAATTGTGATTAGTTTTAAATCAGAAATAGCTGTCAACGCTTTATAACAGCACCGCGTTTCTTCCTTTCTTGGTAGCCCCAGAGTCTATCCCTAGTTCGTGACAGCTGCAGTTGTCGCGACCGCCGTCGTCATGACGACGGCGAAATCTGCTGAGGGCCCTGGTTAGCTGTTGAGTGTTAGAGCTGCCAATTTGAGCTGTTTTATTTCGAGCCTACAGGCTTAGTAGTGATACCACTTCTAGTATGAATAACGTCAATACAAAATAACGTTCGGGGTCGGTCTAGCGGGCAAGGGCTTGCGTCGAGAAGAGCATTGATTGTAGTGTAAACCGGCGCGTCGCATAGGTTTTGTAATGCTTTTATTCCCAAAGACAACGTACACTTTGGAAGGAGCCACTGTGGTAAACACAACGGGGTTGGAATGAAAGCCATAATACAACGTTTTGTTGAATTCACAGTTTGTGAAGTTGCATTTATTATATATATATATATATATATATATATATATATATATATATATATATATATATATATATGATACCCTTGTTTGTTTTTGAAGAGCAGTACAAGCTTTCGTAGCACTCGTTCCTTTAGCACCTTGACAAATTAGTGCGTTACAAACGTCACAGAACACACGCACGATACAAAAGCAAGATAAATGATATTTATTCAGTCATATTCGTGAGTAGGGAGTCCGATTTTTCGAGATTTCGAGATTTTCGAGGATCCAGAACGATATTTCTCCTGCATGAGCGGCTTCTTCAGATCGAAATTGTGCGCTATCCAGAAATATTTCGAGAAAATTGGCAGTACAGATGAAACTGGACACGTCTGACCTAACAATAGGGGACAAGTACAGGGAGGACCGCATACTCCCTTGAAGTCTGTAAAGACAGGTCCTGTACTGTGATATGCGCTGAATTATGAGCGCCTAATGCAGTGTTCTAATTTTGAAATGTCCCTCATTTGCATGTGCGTGCCTGGCGGCGGCTGCTGTGATCATTCTTGGGTAAGGTAAGGCTTTGTCCGGGCCGCAGCCGGTGCTCCTGCTGCGGCCGACGGTCCCGCCGCTCGTGACCCAGCGGCGGTCGGCGCTGCCCGCTCCCACTCCGCTGCCGTCGGCGCGGCGCTCCCCGGCGGTCTGGCCAGCATGCCGCCGGCACCTCGGGACCAGGCCGGACGGCCGTTGGTGGCACCTGCGGCCACCGGTGGCGACCCTTTTGCACGCGCTGACACCGCTTTGGACGGGGCTAGGCTTGGCTGGACGGGGCGGCCCTCAGCTGGTGCGAGTTCCCTGACGCAGATGGCATCATCTGTGGGACCTCACACAGCTGGTGTACCTTCCCTGAAACAGATGGCATCATCTGTGGGGCCTCACACAGCTGGTGTACCTCCCCTGAAACAGATGGCGTCATCTGTGGGACCTCACACAGCTGGTATACCTTCCCTAAAACAGATGGCGTCATTCGTGGGACCTCACACAGCTGGTGTACCTTCCCTGAAACAGATGACATCATCTGTGGGACCTCACACAGCAGGTGTACCTTCCCTTAAACAGATGGCGTCAGCTGTGGGACCTCGCACAGCTGGTGTACCTTCCCTGAAACAGATGGCGTCATCTGTGGGGCCTCACACAGCTGGTGTACCTTCACTGAAACAGATGGCGTCATCTGTGGGACCTCGCACAGCTGGCGTACCTCCCCTGAAACAGATGGCGTCATCTGTGGGACCTCACACAGCTGGCGTGCCTTCCCTGAAACAGATGGCGTCAGCTGTGGGACCTCGCACAGCTGGCGTACCTTCCCTGAAACAGATGGCGTCATCTGTGGAACCTCACACAGCTGGTGTACCTTCCCTGAAACAGATGGCGTCAGCTGTGGGACCTCGCACAGCTGGCGTACCTTCCCTGAAGCAGATGGCATCGTCTGTGGGGCCTCACACATCTAGAACTCCCTCCCTGAAGGCTGCGACTGGCGTAGCCGGCCGAGAACCGAGATCTGCTCCCTGCCAGGGCTCGGGGCCGGGGGTCCCCTCTCCGGGTGGCGGTGGAGGTGCGATCGACCTGAGTGCGGCGCTGCTGCCGGAGCCCCGTCCGAGGCCGCTCGGGCCGGGGGCACCTGGCGGTGCGGGACGGAAGGAGGCGTCGCTGGACGGCCGTGACACGTCTCCCGACGGCCAGCGCTGGCCAGAGGCCCTGCCGCCTCCCCCGCTGCCGCCGCTGCCGTCGCTACCGCCGCCAGTCGGTCTGTGCGCCGCGCCGTCGCCACTGGCTCGCAGCATGGCGCCGGCTGCGGCGCGCGGGCGGCGCCGACAGTTCTGGCTGTTCAGCGGCGCCTGGGCCCCGGGCGCCGAGCTGAGTCCGTTCAAGTTTGACACGCCCTCGCCCGACGACGAGGTGCTCGCCAAGCAGCGCCAGGTGCTGCGCAAGGTGTGACGTGGCGTGACGCTGGTACGGCGCGTGGTCCGTTCACCGGGCCGGGATGGACGGGGAGCGCATGGGGGCGTGTGGGGCGTCAAATGAACCTTTGATCAGTCGCGTGGGGCCGTGTGTGGCTTACGCTGCGGGGACGCTGTATATGCCGCGTATGCGATGCAACGTATTGTGGTGTTTGCTCAAGGGTTGACGTATGTTTTAAGCATACCTGCGCGATGTGTAGGGGGGGGGGGGGGGGGCTGGGGCGCGGCAGGTATGGTTATTGGCCAGTGTAAATTGAAACACTGGCGTTTTCATTGGAAAATATTAAATCCAGTCTTCTGGAATTCATGAATTCATCATCACCGCTTTGGCAGTTGCGATGTACCATTTTGTTTCACTGTATGACAGAATATTTTACCTCAACAAATTTGAAAGTATTTTTTACTCACGGTCTTCATCAAGTGGGATACCAAGCCTGAAGCATTCTGTACTTAGTGCAAACGATGAACAGTAACATGCTGTAATTGATGTTCAAAAATCAGTCAGGTTAACGGCATCTGTAATTATTGTCTAGGCATGGTTTTTATTTCGTAAAGGAAGCATACAACGGCTGCACGCCTTCAGGCGGTGTTTCATGAATGATCGTTGTATCTCTGGCGTGGAAGCTGGCATCGTGGGTGGTATCAATAAATACAACATTTGTACATTCCTAACCTCATGGCCTTCTCGACGCCGGTCTAAATTGAGTTGGACTGGAGCATGCGTGTATCTGAATATATTGTTGGTAAGTACCCCAAGGCCCCAAGGCTGGCGGATCTGCCCGTTCATGTTTGAGCTTGTTGTAAACTGATGCGGGCGAAAAGCGTGGTTAAGTGCCCAAGGTTTCTGTGCATGCTAACAAATCTGACAGTCTTGTGTGATGCCATACGTCCGGAACAACTGGCGTGCTTCGTTGCGATATTGAAACAGGGTCATAATGAAGTCATGAATGAATGATTCTGTGTCAAGTAAGTTGTCTGAAATTGACGCATGAGTGTTACTCATTAACCGCTAGTTCGGTGTTTCCCAGCCTGTTTGGGTCCATTCTGCCTTAAGCACGGGTCGAATTATGACCCTCTCCCCTCGAACCACACCACTAAATTCGGGTAACATTTATGGTGTTCAATTTGTACAGCTTTTAAGCCATCATATTCTTATCTCGAATTATCAACAGGATCATATAGGCAAATGATCCATGAACGGTTCTCTACATAACGATTGTACCCCTGGTGTCACGCTCGTACGTGAACTGCCCCTTTGTCAGTGGGAACATCGCTCCCGTTTCTGGTATTTGGAACAGGTATTTTGGACTCTATACACGTGGTGCGTGACTACATATGACAGAACGATCCTCCAGCCAGTGTCCACCTGTGTACGCTTCCTGTACGATTACCCTTTTATGACGTCATGCTTTGGCCGCACTGCAATTGTTTTGAGACCCTGTTATTGCCGCCTTAGGCAATATCAGGGTCCTTAGGGTGGATCCGCTCGGCTGGGTCGTCCTGTGCCCTTGGCTCTGTAACCCGCAATGCCTCCGAATGCCGTCCGGGCCTGACTGGCGGACCGCTCCTTGCAGCGATGTTCCGGCCAGTGAAGGCAGCTGAGGTCAACTGTCGGCCCGCCCCCGCCGCCCGTGTCATCATTGGCTTCCAGGAGCAGCCGGCTGGTATGGCCTTGGGCGATGCCTCGAAGGCGTCTCGTGCGAAGCATGGGACAAATACGGCTCTGTGTGGAACTGTGCCGATCTGTCTGGTCACTGTGCAGTCTGGGTTATATTATGCTTGACCGAGCCATGCACTGGCGTGTAAATGCTGTATATGCGAGTTCTTTGAAGAATCTGGTAACTTGTTCATATATATATATATATATATATATATATATATATATATATATATCGTCCACTTGTCTTGACAGCCTCATAACTTAGCGTCCTTTCATCTGATTTGTTCTGGTATTGGTAGCAGGTGCTCGGCTCGTGCGCGACAGCTTGTGAACAGAAGCTCCATGTCTCAATCACTCAGCACGTTCTCCCGCAGTGTGTGACCCCTCGGCCCACCCTCCGCATCTGCTCCAGGGTCAGAGAAGGAGACGCCGCCAGCCGCCGCGTCGGCGCCGGCGCTCCCGGCGGAAGTGCGTGAGCTGCGCGGCGCCGCCAGCCGCTCCGGCTCCAGCTCGCCTCTCTCGTCCCGCCGCCAGTCGCCCGCGCAGTCGGCCGGCGCCGATACCGCCTCGCCGCGCACCCCCGCCTCGTACGTGGCCGGCGGTGGTGCCGTGGGGCGCGCTCTGCTCCGGCGCGAGGAGATGAACACTGCACGGGCCGCGGTGGAGCGGCTCAGCTTATACTGTCGGCGCACATACTGTGACAGGCGATAGTTAGCACAGCCAGCTAGCAAGCTAGCCGGCTGCATGCGCAGAATCGTAAGCTAACGGGAGGCGCTGCGATCTTCTTTTCTCCCGTTATGTACTCGCTTAGGTGTTCACTGGGGCTTTCTTTGCACATGGGAGAAGGTGGGAGAGGGCTGCCGTCCTCGGCCCCATCGACGGTGACGTCTCGTCGGTGACACCATATCACGTGCTGTTTAGGACTCGGGACGCCCAGGCCGAGTACGACAAGGAGCGGGCGGGCGGCAAACAGCTGATCAACATGGTGGTCATCGGTCACGTGGACGCCGGTGAGTTCCGTCCCGATAGTGGCCCATCCCGGATCCTATGATGTGTCACTGGTTTCATTCTCATGGTTTGTCGTTTCCGCGGCGGGACGTCCACTGCTGAGGCGCGTCTTCCGTAATGGGCCATTCAAACTGGTAATGTTTTGGTAATGGGCCGTTGTCATTTGCGTATGCCTGTAACAACGCACTACGGCAATATTTTCGTAATGGGCTATTGTCATTTCCGTATGCTTTCATGCACAATGTACAATGCACATTTAATGCTAACATACACAGTGAATATTGTCTGATACACTGAAGTGTGAAGCTACATGTCAAGTAGGTTAAAACGATGTGCAAACTCGCTTGGGACTTGGGAGCGAAATAATGTGTTTCAGGCTGGCTGTGTCCACTCACATGGCATTCTTTCTTTCCTGAACAGGCAAATCTACTTTGATGGGCCATCTGCTCTGTCAACTGGGCTGTGTTAATAAGAAGGCCATGCATAAATATGAAACCGAGAGCAAGAAGATGGGCAAGCAGTCTTTCAAGTTCGCCTGGGTGCTAGACGAAACTGGCGAAGAGAGGTCAGTCCGGTGTTCCAGAAGGCGTGTCTTTGGTGGACAGTTTCAGTTTCCGTATTTTAAGGTCTGATCTTCACCTAACGAGTGATCCTGACCTCCACCCGTGGTTTCAGTGGCAACACTATGCTCGTGAATGATGTGCTGGCCTCTGTGGCGACCAGGCCACGCATGCAGGATGGTGCCAACTAAAGCGGGGCGGGGGCACAGGCGTCCACCACTTGACGTCGATGAGGGGACTTTACTCTTCAGCTGGCATAGATTGCCAGTCAATCTGAAGCTTTTGAAGTCGCCGATATTGTAGCAAACGATAAATAGAACGTTCCACTCGGTCATTCAATTCGCCCCAGCAGATAGCTTGTTTGACGTAACTGATGAGATGGCTTGTCTGGCGCAACTGACTAATCGTGCCTCCAGTGGCACCCACACATTTCGGACCTAGTCCCAGCTCCATGTTCTACCCCAGCACCAACGTGACCCCGATCTGATCTCCCCTAACCTGTCACGACCCCAGAGCACGCGGCATCACCATGGATGTGGCCCACTTCAAGTTCGAGACGCCGCAGAAGACGGTGACGCTGCTGGACGCGCCCGGCCACAAGGACTTTATTCCGAACATGATCACAGGTAAGAAAGCTCCACTCCGGTCAGGGTGGTAGCCACCAGCCTATGTGCAGGGGTCTCAGATGGTCACCTGGTCACGCGGGGGGGTCGCGTTCAACACGAACATCACCCCTTGCGTTCGTCTTAGTTCGCACCCCAGTTGTAGGAGGAATAATTTCGATGACACATGAGACGTCGAGTCTTAAGAACAGAGCAACGCGGTCTGGATATAAATTGCAACACAGGGTTTCAACGCTGTGGAAATGAGCACGACTGTCTTCCCTGCGGATGGCAGATGGTGGATGCAGTGCAATGTGTACCGCGGCAATAATCAATATAACTCATAAATGTCACGTGATATGTTGAAAACGCAACGTGCAAACTGACAATCTGCCATTATTAATTATTTTAACGATAGCACAACACTGCGTGATAACTCCGCTGTTATCTGACTAAATATGGAAGAGCCAGTCTTCCGGAGATGTTCTATATGCGCAGATACAGACCTGTATATCACGAGGGAGCGCAGCGCACTATGTCACGCTCCTGGTTACACATATGGATACATTAACATACACGTGTCTGCATCGGCACCCAAAACTGTCGGCAGCCCTGTGACCTCCGGATGACCCCGCCACCTGACGTGCCGTTGTGACCGCCAGGGGCCGCCGCCGCCGACGTAGCCGTGCTGGTGGTGAACGCCACCAACGGCGAGTTTGAGACGGGCTTCGAATCGGGCGGCCAGACCCGCGAGCACGCCATCCTGGTCCGCTCGCTGGGTGAGTGGGGAGCCGTTCCGGGTCAGGGTCACGTCTGGTCCGCTCGCTAGGTGAGTGGGGAGTCGTTCCGGCTCAGGATCATGTCTGATCCGCTCGTTGGCTGAGTGGGGAGCCGTACCGGGTTAGGGTCACGTCTGGTCCGCTCGTTGGGTGAGCTGGGAGCCTTACGATGTCAGGATCATGTCTGGTCGGGGTCAGGGTCACGTCTGGTCCGCTCGTTGGCTGAGTGGGGAGCCGTACCGGCTCAGGGTCATGTCTGGTCCGCTCGCTGGGTGAGTGGGGAGCCGTACCAGCTCAGGATCATGTCTGGTCCGCGCGCTGGGTGAGTGGGGAGCCGTACCAGCTCAGGGTCACGTCTGGTCCGCTCGCTGGGTGAGTGGGGAGCCGTTCCGGGTCAGGGTCACGTCTGGTCCGCTCGCTGGGTGAGTGGGGAGCCGTACCGGCTCAGGATCATGTCTGGTCCGCGCGCTGGGTGAGTGGGGAGCCGTACCGGGTCAGGGTCACGTCTGGTCCGCTCGTTGGGTGAGCTGGGAGCCTTACCATGTCAGGATCATGTTTGGTCGGGGTCAGGGTCACGTCTGGTCCGCTCGTTGGGTGACCCGGGAGCCTTACTAGGTCAGGATCATGTCTGGTCTGGGTCAGGGGCATATCTGGTCCGCTTGATCGGTGAGTGAGGAACCGTGCTGGGTCAGGGTCATGTCTGGTCCGCGTGCTGGGGAGTGGTGAGGCGCCGGTCTTGAGATTCTCGAAGCAGGGCGAAACATGGATTTTGGCGTGCCAGACTGCCAGAATGGAATCAAGACCGGTTTATGTTCGTCCCACACGGCATGCGGTCTTCAAGGGGAATGATTTCGCTGTAGTATATTGTGAAGAAATAGCCAGGCCATTCTGTATGGCCAAGTGAGTTGCGTTCGCCAGCCTAGCTCAGTGGGCGAGTCTTCTGATGATGCCACCTCCGCCGCTGGTCGTGACGCCGACGCGTGAGCCGCCGCCACCGCCGCCCTGCCTCAGGGGTCAGTCAGCTGGCGATCGCCGTCAACAAGCTGGACACGGTCGACTGGTCTCAGGCGCGCTTTGACGACATTCGGACGCGGCTGGGCGCCTTTTTGCGCTCGGTCGGCTTCCGCGAGTCCGAGCTGCGCTACGTGCCCTGCTCCGGCCTGACCGGCGAGAACCTGACGCAGCCGGCGCAGGAGCCGCAGCTGCAGGCCTGGTACAGCGGCCCCACCCTGCTGCAGGTGATAGGTCAGTGTTGACACCGGCGGTCGCGTCACCAGCCCGTCATGAATCGTAAGCAGTGCCGGGCTGGCACCGCCACGCACGGCGCAGCGTGCCCGCGCGCACTGTACGGCACGTGTTTGTTTGGGCGGCGGACGAACACTCACCGGCGTGGTTCGTCTCGGCGGCCCCCCGACTTGTGTGAAGCCTCCCCCGCCCGTCGTACCGGCTGAGCCCGTGTGTGGCTCTGGCGGTCACGCCCGGTGACGTCAGTGGCGTGGCTCCGGCGATCACGCCCGGTGACATCTCTGGTGTGGCTCCGGCGATTTCTCCCGGTGATGTCAGTGGTGTGGCTCTGGCGATCACGCCCAGTGACGTTAGTGGTGTGGCTCCGGCGATCACGCCCGTTGACGTCAGTGGTGTGGCTCCGGCGATCACGTCCAGTGATGTCAGTGGTGTGGCTCTGGCGATCACGCCCAGTGACGTCTCTGGTGTGGCTCCGGTGATATCTCCCGGTGATGTCACTGGTCCCGATGCTGTATCATCTGGCTGGGGCTGTGGCCGCGAGTTCAGACCGACACTCATACGGTGTCACCATCCCGTTCGGATGCGTCCGGTCTGCCTGATCGCCTTCCGCGGTGCCGCCGCTCACTCCGCCAGAGCTGGCGTGCGTCTGCCCCGCTGTGTGACGCGGCCTGTGTGTCGTGGTCAGACGGCTTCCCAGCGCCGAAGCGGGCCGTCTCCATGCCGCTGCGCCTGTTCGTCTCGGACGTGTTCAAGGGCCAGCAGCAGTCGGGCCTGAGCATGGCTGGCCGCATCGACTCCGGCATGATGCAGCTGGGGGACCGCGTGCTGGTCATGCCGCACGGCGACACGGCCACTGTCAAGGGTGAGGACGCTGGCGACGGCGGCGCTACGGGGGGCGCGGTAACGGTCTGGTGCGATACGGTGGTGTTTAAGTTCGGATCGGGGATGGCATGGTTTGCGGAGAAGTGCTGCAGAAAGTGCTCAGTCAAGAGGGGCCAGCAGCGATGCAGGTTCGCTATGCGCTACATTCTGCATGACTGTTACCTTAAGTGAAAGGGAGTGGTTTGGACGTTGTCAATCATGAACCATCTTTAGCCAACTTGGTCGGAAAGCCGCGATGCTGTAAGCAATATGACCATCTGCAATATCTGAAAACGAATGAGGAAAGCAGCCGCAAGCCATAAGCCATGTGCGTAGCTCCCATACTGTCACGTTTAGCCTGTTTGTGGATTTACGCGCCAGTGATTGGTACCTTGGTGCGAGGTGCGCGGCACAAGCCGTATCGCTCCAATTCAGACGAGTCCAGACGCTCGTTAGGATGGAATTCATCTGGCCCACCGGAATTGTTCTTGATAAAGCTGCTTTCGGCAGAACATGTGGGTGCGAACAGTTCGTGGGAAATAATGGTAGCGTATGAACCATGCCTTCAGTTGTTAAATATACATCATCGTATAGTAGTGCAAGTGTTGTCGAAAGCTGGTGTTTTTGCGATACACGCTTGCAGCTGACCGCACGTCAGAACCGACTGTAAGTTAGAGCCGACCGGCCAAGCTTTAGGGAGCCGAAAATTATACAAATGGGTGAGGTATTGCTTTGCACGATATCGGTACGCGTTTGGATCGCGTTACAAGCGGTCGCGGCTGGACCCAGTCCTTCACTTCAGACAGTTTTTGAAACTGCCCCCGGACGTGGGACTAACCCTCAGGATAGCACGTCGTCTCCTCTTGCTGCACTTCTTTGAAATAATGCTCCCTTACGTGGAAACGACGTCACGATAGGCTTTCCGACAATCGCCCTGTCACGAATTCTAAGCATTGTTGGTGACGTGGCGAGTGTGCCTGTGTATTCCCTATCCGCTCCAACTGATAAGCCCGTAATCGTGCCGTGTCCCGGCCGCAGCCGCCGAGCAGCAGGCGTCGTCTCCCAGTAACCGGCGGGCCTTTTGCAGACGAGTGCCACTGCCGCTAAGGCCCATTCGTGTCGCTGCATTCTCTTTCAAACCGCTTGCATCTCCAGGCTGTGTGCCAAGACTTGAGCCCCGACCTCCTTTAACGTCAACGCCACACCACCTGCCCCGCCTCTGACGCTGGTCCAGCGCCTCTGCAGGGCTGGCAATCGACGAGATGCCTGTGCAGTCGGCGTTCGCCGGCGACCACGTGACTGTGACGCTGTCCAGCGTCGACGCCCAAAGCCAAACAGTGGGCGTGGTGCTCTGTGACCCGGCCCGGCCGGTGCGCGTGGCCACCAGCGTGCAGGCACGCATCGTCATCTTCAGTATCGATCTGCCAATCACCAAGGGCTACCAGGTGAGGGAAGGGGACTGGGGGCGGTGGTGATCACGGGTCGGTGCCAGCGCCGTTCCGGAGGTGGAATGTGCTGAGGCATTCTCATTGGTGTGTGTACAAGATGTGTCTGTACGAATTCGCAGTCGGGTACAGGAATTCTGACAGCGGGTGGACCGGTCGCGTTTCTAACATCTCGGCCGCACGGATGGCGAGCGGACGGGCTGATGCGGGTCGACCGCCCGGCCCTGTTGCTGTGAGACCGCGCCGACCGCTCGCCGCCCGCCGCCCGCCGCCCGCCGACTGCCTGCCGACCACCTGCCAACCGCCTGCCGTGGCTTGTGGCGTCGGTCTGCCATGCCGCCAACGCTGCGCTTGCTTGCCACAGTGGCCTGTTCGTTGCGGAACTCGCCTAACGGAATCACCGCTGACCCCGGCGCTGAGGTCGGGAGCGGCCCCACGCCACGTCCCTGTTGCCATGCCATGCACCACGTCCTGTTGCCATGGTGGTGAGTGGATTGCCAGCCGGTGGGCGATGTGCGGCCCCGGATCGACAGGTCCCGGGTTCGTTTCGCGCCGCGGGCAACACTACTGACTCCCTGCCACGCTGACCGTCCGTTCATGCGTGCTTCTGACAGGTGGTGGTACACTACCAGTCGCTGAGCGAGCCGGCTACCGTGTCCCGGCTACTCTGTCAGCTGCACCGCTCCTACCGGGGAGGTGCTGAAGCGGCGGCCGCGCTGCCTGCCGGGTAACACCAGCGCCGACGTCGTCATCACCTTCCAGCGGCCCGTCTGTGTACGAGCTCTACAAGGATTTCCGGGAGTATGGCCGACTCATGCTGCGGGTGGCCGGGCACACGGTGGCAGCTGGACTCGTCACCGAGGTCAGCAGTGGCAATGGCGCCACCTGTGGTCACTCTCCCGCTCCAGTAACGTGTGTAGCGTTGTCGGGATGTCGGCTAGGTAGCTCCCCAGCGGTTATGAAGCGCCGGGCCGCTGCGTAGGAAGAGCCTGTACTGAGGTTACACTGTTCGCCACGTTCAGTACCCTCCCGCCGCGCTGGCCCGCTGTGCCGAAGACGCTACGCTCTGGCGTGCTATGCTCGAAGTGTGACGTCGATCCAGTGGATGGCATCATCTGACGGCGTCCCCACCCTGCCCGTCGCTCAGCTGACCGCCGTCCGTGTTTCAGGTTAAGTGACAAACGCCTCTAGTACGAGCCGCCAGCGCGGCGGAATGGGAGCGGCGGCCTATTTATATTATTTGCGGTCAGCGTGCCTGAGGTGATCCTGGTGTCGTCTGTTTTGCAATGGACTTGGGTGGGGCCTGGCCTCGTTAGCTAAATATTGTCTTACAATATACACCTCAAAGCTTTTACATAGCGTTTGATGTGCTGCTGCTCTGTTACATTCACCTTGTTTTCGAGTGATGTTTTTGAGTGAAGCGTGTCTCCGCGGGCTTAATCACTACATAACCGCAGCCGCAGCGCTCATCGATTTCCTCTGGTTCGTTTATCGCACAGTAGAGATGACTTTGTACATGTTTGCACGTTGTTACATCACAACGTTCCCACAGCACAGCGCACTCGCCCTCGCTCGCGTACACACGCGCACACAACCAAATGGTGTGATTCCTGCACATGTTATAGCAGCAACGCCGTCCACGGCGTCGTTTCAGCGTCATTTTTGATGAGCACACCACGGACTCGGTTCAAACGCACGTCATTCCACAACATACCTCATCACCGTCAGGCAGTCCGAACCCCGATGCAAAACACAGCATTCAACTACTCGCTCGATCACTCCGCGCGTCTTAAATACCGCACGGCATATAAACGCTGCGTCTTAACGGCGCACCGCATGGCGTTTCCCGGGCCGCACTGTGGCGCAGCTGGCGGCGGCGGCGGCGGCGCGGCGAGCACGACCGAGCACCCGCCCGTCGGCGGCGGGGCCGACACAAACGGTCTCCGGACGCCCGGGCGCGGCAGGAGGTCCGCCGCCGGCCGGAGACCGGCGGCGGACGGGTTATGAACGGCAGCGGCGGTGGCGGCCGGCGCCGCTACGTGCTCTCCGCCTGGGTTATGTACACCTGCTGACCCGCAGCACCTGCTGGCCCTGGAACGAGCCCAGACGCCCGTGAGAGCACAGAGCGGGGGCGGGACACGCCCGGCTGTGGCCAGCACACTGGACGTTGCCCGCCCCGCCAGCCACGCCGTCCATCCGGTCGCCTCGATGTTACGAATGTCCTCCCAGCCATCCGTTACGGTATTCACCAACGCTGTCCTGCCGGCCAGCGTTTCACCGATATTGCCACACCCGCGAAGGGCAATAAAGACCAAAACTAACCGAGACGCAATATCTTGAAGACCCGAAGCACTGCCACAAACTTAAGAAGGGAGATCACTCCACTTAAGTGGGCCCCCGCCGGCCTAACCAGAGAGCGATCCCGCGCGTAATGCCCCAAACTCGCACGACACTCCAGTGCTGTTTGCTCCGCACACACGTCATGCACTCCGGACTTCTATCAGCGGCCTCAGGCTGACGTGTCCACAGCTTGTGACGACGACCATCGGCACTGCTGCCTGCCCGGGCCTGCTGCAAGGACGATCGTCTGCTGGCCCGAGTTGTTCTGCCCCGCCACCCGCACCATCTGGATCTGGTTAGCGTTTCAGCTGAACCTGCGACGGGGCGCCATCCTGTCACCGTCGGTCATTGGCCGCCGCTGACCTTGTCCCGTGGTCACCGACGACCCGGTCCCCCGGTCCTGGTCCTATCGGCCGGGTCCCTTCCTAACCCTACGCCGTGGTCCCAGAAACCGGCTGCCGCCTCCCGGATCTGGACGCCACACGCGACGCAATTAGGACTGGCAGCACGGCTCCAGAGTCGCTCTCGTTATGCGCGCGACAAGCCGGAGAGGTCCGAACACTCGCTCGGTCAGAAAGACACCAGGACATTCTCGAACACAAGCGGCGGGACATCGGGCTCCCCACCGGGAGACCTGAACATCAGTAGCGCCCGCAGGCCAGCACACTTGTGTGGTCATCATCATTATTATCATCATCATCATCATCATCATCATCATCATCATCATCATCATCAACCGTCATCGTCATCGTCTGTGCAGCCGCTCACCGGGATCTGCTGCACTTGGCCATCGGCGCCCACCACCTGCTGTATGACCTGGATATTTTGCTGCTGTTGCTGTTGTTGCTGCTGCTGCTGCTGCGGCTGTGGCTGCTGCTGCACCAGCTGCCCCTGTGCGTTCACGTGCAGCTGCACCGTCTGGACGCCTGCCGCCTGGGTGCTGGCCTGCCGATACGAGATATGGCGCGTCATCTATGCTGCCCTCCACAGATGCGTCACAGACGTGTCGAGAGTGGATCTAAGATCCCGCAGGGTTCCATGCTGATGAGATACTGGGATCTTGGGGGGGTCCAGGCACCTGTCTGCTGCTAACTGGCTGAAAGTCGTGATATGTGGGCTGCAGCGTGGGTCCGTTGAAGCAAGACTTAATACGTGGGCTACGTTGCGTGCCGGTTGAAACACCACATGGCATGTACCCTGTGCCGCCGACGGGCCGAAATAAGGCAGGACACACGAGCTAGCACGGCGGGTCTGAACTAAGGCGGCATACACAAGCTGCACCGTCTGCCTGCTGAAACAAGCTACGGTATGTTGGCTGTAACGTCGGCCGGCAGAAACAAGTCACGGTATGTCAGCTGTGTCACGGTATGTCAGCTGTACCGTCAGCCGGTTGGAAGAAATCACGGTATGTCAGCTGTACCGTCTGCCGGCTGAAACAAGTCACGGCATGTTAGCTGTACTGTCGGGTGGCTGAAACAAGTCATGGTATGTAAGCTGTACCGTCTGCCGGCTGAAACAAGTCACGGCATGTTAGCTGTACTGTCGGGTGGCTGAAACAAGTCATGGTATGTTAGCTGTACTGTCGGGTGGCTGAAACAAGTCATGGTATGTAAGCTGTACCGTCAGCCGGCTGAAACAAGTCACGGTATGTCAGCTGTACCGTCTGCCGGCTGAAACAAGTCACGGCATGTTAGCTGTTCTGTCGGGTGGCTGAAACAAGTCACGGTATGTCAGCTGTACCGTCGGCCGGCTGAAACAAGTCATGGTATGTAAGCTGTACCGTCGGCCGGCTGAAACAAGTCACGGTATGTCAGCTGTACCGTCGGCCGGCTAAAACAAGTCATGGTATGTCAGCTGTACCGTCGGCCGGCTGAAACAAGTCACGGTATGTAAGCTGTACCGTCTGCCGGCTGAAAGAAAGCACGACAGATGAGTCGCGTTCCCGACTATTTGAAAGAAGCTATGACTAAGAGCTGTACACCTCACCCATCGGACGTAAGAGCTACACTGCCGGCAGATGGTAACACAGCTGCCAGAATGTACACTAGGGTGTCACTTTCTAAAATCGGTCGGGCTCTCAACCAAAAAGATTGGATTAACTTACTCCCAAAATCCCGTTTCATCGCGGGTTTTGGCCACTCGAATCTGCGTTCTCGATGTTAAAAACTTCTAAATATTTCGTAGATTCAAAATTGTTCTCCTCTAGAGGAATGACTTCCCATTTCAAGTTAATGTACGTTGCCTTTTGTCAAGAAGAGTCAGGTGTAATTTTAAAAAAAAAATATCACTAGATCTTGGTAATGGATCGCTAATGACCACCGCTGTCGCTAATCGTGTTGTATGACCACCACAGCCAAGGTCGTGCGACAAATACACTTCTGGAACAAATACACTGTTAAGGAAAACATGTGTTCACTTTAATCTGGACCCTTCTGTACTTTTAAAAGCTGCCGCAGGTGGTCAACTGTTCTTCAACCCCGTCCAGGCGATATCATTTGAAAACATTGTCAAATATTTGCGGACTGGCTTAACATATGAAGGAGTCGGCATGACAAAACATTGTTCCTGCAGGATACTTCTT